TTTTAGGGTTTGTGGAAATGTACTCTCCGGTCTGTCTGGCTGCTTTGTTTTCTAGCTTTTTCTGTTTCTTAAATCTGCCTTTTTACTTCTTATAAGTTAGCTTTTCTTTTCGGTCTGTCCACCTGAAACTGAAGCTGTCTGGGTTTTTTTTTTTCTAAAGCTTTGTAGCCAGTTCTCTTTCACCACCAATCCAAAACATGCAGTTTGTTTTCAGCCCCATTTTCTCCCTCTTTGAACAAAGCTGCAAATGCCAAATAAGAAACCGTCGGGGCCGAGTCTCAAGATATTCACCACATTGATTTTAAATGGAGACTCGGTAGCAAATGATATCAAAACCCCTCATAAAACAGTTACACAACAAAGTTCAACAGCATAGCAGTGAACTGAAGGGAAGGATTTTATGTTGCGCTAACACAGACCTCCTCAAGACCTGTCATGTCTCAGGCATCTTTATATAACAGTTTACCCAGGTAGAGGGAAGAAAACTTGTGGTCTTGTCTCTCAGTCTACTCAACTTGACAAAATATGAAAAGGATGTTGCCTTGTGGTACCACTTTGACTGCCTGAGGTATGATAAATGTCTAAATGTTGTGCTTTCCTGCTCACTTTCATGGTGAGGCAGGTCACAAATGTACACATTTTGCACAAAGAAAACAACTGAATGCTACTGTACACTGATACACACAAACTTAGTCATGTTAGTGTTGCAATAAATATATTTTTCATATGTAGTTCAGAGTAATTCAGAATATCCTTTGCTTTCGTTGGTTTACAGGATGTACCAGTTGTGTGGTTTTAAGGCCTGTGTAAGCATAAGGCGTAGAGAAAGAAATTATTTCAGGTTCCTGGAAGAAAGCAACGTTTGAAATAGTTCAGTATTGGGAAATACATTTATGTTCATTCTTTCAAAGAGTTGGATGAAAATATTGATACCACTCTCATGAGGTCTAGAGCTGGTGCCAGGATGTGGTTAGCATAGAGTACACCTACAATCAGCTTTAAAGCTCATATATGGCACACCGTAACGGAAAACAAACAGAAATGAAACTTTTTTTTTTTTTTTTTTTTGGCAGACAACAGCTGAGGGCTGCGATTTACTGACATCTTGTCATGACGGTGAAGTTTGAAAGAGCAAGGGCCAGCCATTTCCCTGCTTCCAGTCTTTATGCTATGCTAAGCTAACCGGCACCCAGTTTCTGCTTTGTAGGTGGTCGTTTTATGTCTAACGTCCTGCCATTTATCTTCTTCTCTTGTAGAAAATTGACGCGCAGGCGATCGAGGAGTTCTACGGTCTGACGTCAGACATTTCCAAGAACTCTGAGTCAGGATACATCCTGTTCTACCAGTCCAGAGACTGACCCAGCCAGCGGGAAATCCCCAGCAGACTGTCACTCAGCAGAGGGGGAGGCGCTTATGGCCGCCACCGGCTCCGCCCGGTACGCTCACACAAGTATCCAGGCTTTATTCCCTGTAGGCGGAGCTTTGCACTGGAGCACCACTCGGATCGGTTGGGACTGGTTCAGGGTCGCAGCCTCCTGGATTACGACCATTCAAACCCTCTGAGCCACACTGCGAAAAGCACCTTAACAAAACAAGATGGCCGAGTCTGTAACACTCGCTTTGCACTGGGGCATCAGCTGGGAGTTACGCCGATCCAAGAGGCTGACATCACCATGTGCACAGCGGCTCTTTTCGGAGGGTATGGCAGTTTGGGAATGTTGAGACGATGCAGAGTAACTAATCAACTGTTTTGGATGAGACAACTTCTGATTGTAATCCACCTCATCACGGTAACCATTAAGTGTCATCACAGTTTTCTTTAGAGTTTTTTTGTGTGTGTGTGTGCGCATATTATAACGTGCTAAATTAGCGTAACGCTAACACACAGGTACCATGCGTTCACCCCAAACAAACCCCCCACCAACACCACCAAAACATGTCAGAGAAACTAACATCTGGCTGTTAGAAGTCTCACTTGTCACAACAAAACCACTGACGCAGGCTTTAGCGATTGAATAGCTTGGACGTGGAGCGCGGTGCGTGATGCAGTTACTAGTTTGCAGTGTTTGTATCATGTATCTATGCTAATGACATAGTGTTAAAGGTATAGCATGAAAACCAGCTATCAGAGAGATGCTGGTGAATCTGTTGGACGGGCTCATTGTTGGGAAAACCATTTAAAGAGGGTTTTTTGCTGTAAATATCAGCAATCTGTGTCTTAAAGCAGAAACATGAAGTCTGGGTGAACATCAGTTTGCCCTGTTGATGTGTTTTTTTCAGCAGAAACTGGTAAACCCCAAAAAGGACGAGCCTTACAGATCACCAACAACCCTCTCCCACTTTCAAAAAGGCCAGCTGGCTGAGTGAAAGTGGCTGGTAAGAGTTTTAGTTTTAAAGTTACTGGCGTGTGTCGTGCCATTACGGGTCATGTTTGCTGCCACAGCTGAAAAAGTCAACTGAAGGAAGGACACCGAACGAAAAGCGGTGAGGTGTTCAAAGTTAAACAGCATAAGCTAACAAGTCAACCTAAATCACACAGTTTCTTTTGTGGTTTGCCTTCAAAGATTGGTGTCGTTTTAACCTTTTTTGACTTGTTTTAAGATGCCAGAATTTGCACATTTGTGCCATTTTAAAAAGGGACAGATGTGTTTTTCTTTTAAGTCAGTTCTGACATCCAAACTGCCACACTACGTACAGGTTGAATGTTTGTGTTTAGTGTGTCTTATCCTTTTGTTCCTCGTTTATTAAAGCTTTATTTCTGGACAGCAAACTAACACAGACCTCGCTGCAGCTGGTTCAGCACTCATAATATCAGCCACCAGTCCCACGCTGGCAAATTTTGACTCTGGCTTAAGTGTTTCTCCTGCAGCTGCAGCTCTGGCAGGCTGTCAGACATTTTACATAACATGTTTTTCACTCCAGAATCTTAAATTGGAGCCCTCACTAATGCTGAGTGATGCTAACGGGCTGCTGATGTGGAGCGCGCCCACTGTCAGTCAGCGACATGGCGTATTAAATGCAGTCAGACTGTTGTGTTTGTCTCAGCCGTTTAAAATGGATTCCTCTCCTCCGTATCCCTCAAAAGCTCATTTAGAACAACGGAAAAAAGTTCAGGATGGAAACAACTTATGATTTAATGTTGACTCATACAGTTTTAAGAAGCGTTTTATTTTAATAAAAGGAATTTAATGCAGCTGCTTCTCCAATTTGAACCTGCCTTTCTCCATTTTTTATTATTGTAAATTCAAACCTTCAGTCATTGATTTTTCAATTGTTGTCTTCCTCGGCTCTAGACATGCTGAAGATAAACAAAAATATATGAAATTAAAGAATCAGTAATGTCCCCAATAGGGCTGGAACTAAAATTTTATTTTTTTTATAATCGTTGTTCTTTCGACATAAGATTTAGTCTATAAAATGTCAGAAAACAAAACATCTTGACTTCTCAGAGCCAAAGTAATGTTTTCAAATAGCTCGTTCTGTCCTACAAAACGGTGCATAACTTAAAAAAATATAAATTTTACAGTGATAGACAACAGACAAAACATCCTCACATTTGAGAAGCTGCAGTCAGTAAATGTTTGGCATTTTTGCAAGTAGTTTTCTGACGATCATGTCAGCTCTGATCTCTGTGTTTGCGAGGAAGAGTCATGTTTCTCCATTTTGATCATCAGAATCACCTCAAAAGATCAAACATTAACATCTGTGGTATTATCCTCACACTCTGGAGGTAAAAGAGTGGAGTTAATGCTTTTTAACTGGACAAACAGGAGCAATTTTAAAGCCTGGTCATGGGCAACAACCTTCCTTTTCTCCTTTTGTTGTTTTTCTTTAACGCACAAACAAACCAAATGTAGGTTGTTGGTTTTTTTCAGTTTAATCTTGTTTTTTCTGAAGTATGTTTTACACTGCCGAGCTCGTGAGGCTCCACCTGACTGGGCTGTCCCAGATTAACAAGCAATCCCGCACGTGAGTCTTTGTAACAGAGCTGCAGCAGATGGAAAATGAATGGAAACATGTTCTCTGTAGCCTTTAAAGGTGTTTATATTCTGCAGTAGTTGAGTGGCCTGGGCAGTGGGTCAAATATTATCTGAATGTTAAAATGTACAGTAAAATAAAAACAGGGCTGCTGCTTGACCTATAAACACCAGCTTGAGTTGGTCACGTCTCAATAATCTGAAGTTGCTCTCTCTCTCTCGCTAAAACCAGAAAAGCACTTTTAACGACTTTACTATATTCTGAATTTCTTTATCTCCTTTTTAAGCCCTTCTATTTGATTCAGCTCTGATTCAGGTTGGACATTCCAGGGTTTGCTGACACTGTTGAACTGTTACAAAATAATCTACAAAGAATATGAGCTAGCATGTATTTGAATGGCCACCACAGCACTTTGCCAGTTCAACAGACGCCTCTTTGTTAGCATACATGGCTAAAGTTGCCCTTAAAACAGCCTTAGCCCTGATCCTGATCCAGGACCAGGTCTTACGATGCATCGTGGCACTGCGTTGCTCTCTCCTGAAACTCCTGAGACATTTCAGTCTCTGAGCAGTTCATATAAATTTGTCATGTTAAGAATGTAAAGTACATACATGGTGAATGAAAGGCTTCTCAGCAACTGGGGCTGAACGATTTAAAAAAAACAAAAAAAACATTGCAAATGCGATGTGATTTGTGATATTGGAGGGAATGACAGTTTTTACATAATTAGTCTTATTTTAAGTGAAAAACATATTGAAATGTTTATGGTGTGATTTTTACAGAGCGCTGTACCGAACAAAGATCTTTCCTCAAGTATGTAGAGGATGAATATGTAGGCCAGGACCTCTCTCTGCCACTATACAATATTTAAGTTTTTTATTTTTGCCTTTAACAAATATTGCACCTGTATTGTAGTCCATATTGCATATTTCAATTAATTGTTCAGCCCTATTAGCAATTGCAAAAGACATTTACATTAAGCGGGAGCATAGGCACAAAAATGATGATTTGCTCTGACCTAAGAAGTTCTCTGGAAGCACTGAGCTGCTGTGCCCCATTCTAGTCACTGAGCAGGGAAGACATCCTGCGCCACCTTTGGTTAACATGGTTTGAAATGACTAATGGATACAGCCTTTCTTGTTCAGGACAATGACGCACAATAAGGTATTTATAAAACACTGCCAGCAAACCCAGACATATCCAAACTCATAATATGTCAAATTTTAAAGTAGAAGTTAAAATCTGTTTATTAAAGCCACAGAAGTGTTTATACAAGTTCTTGAACGTCTAACTTGGCTTAAAAGTTTTCAAAATAAAGGAAAGGGAGCGACTTCAGATGACGTGACATGACACTTCCCTTCACGCACTGGGTTGAGGCTTCAAAGTCAGAACACTATTTCCTTTTTTCTTCTCCTGTATGGGCTGCTCTTAAACTCAACTCATCTAGATGAAAGGAAGTTCTTTATGCGCCTTGGCTAATCTGTTTTCGGGGGCGATCCACTTTGTATTTGTTTTTGTTCTACAATATTTGTCAGAAAAAGTAGTATGTTGTTTCGCATAACTTGAAACGCAGGTTATATCCAGATGCCAAATAGAAACTGTGGACTCCTGTACGAGTTGCTTTCATTTGTACAAAATTAGTGTTCACAGCTTTTTAAAGAAGAATTTCCATTTACTCATTGTATAAATGAACAAAAACAAGCACATAACGCATTATTTTGGGGATAAAAGTCCACAGATTCAGTTTGGAACTGTTTATGATTCTGTCTTTTAATTAAATGCAGTTTAATGGAAATAACTGGTCCTCAAAACTGTAAATGTGTCTGTCATCAACAAGGCTCTTTTTTAATTTAAATACTATTAATATTATTGTTATGAATGTTTAACTTCTTTTTGTTAGATGTTTCACTTGTTTTTGATATATTTCACTAATTTTACTAGTCTACCATTCTTGTGTAGGCAGCTTCGGATATTTGAAGATATTTTTGTTTTGATTTGGGAGGATGTGACGAGAGATGTTGACGTGTACATAAATACAGATGTTATTATTGGAATATAAATATTTGCTTGCTTGAAATAATCAGCGGACCTACAGTAGGTTTGAAAATCTCAAAACACTTCTGGTAATGAATCAGTAAACCTGGTGCTTAAAACGAAGCCCCACCCATCTGGCGTCCCAGGCAGCCTAAAACAAACAACCCCAATGTAAATGAGCTCATCTGAAAGGTCACAATATAAAACACAGAAAACTGTCTGATTTCATGAATCTGTTGTAGAAGCTCTCTGTACATTAAACTGCTGCGCAGAAAGGAACTGACCAAAAACTGTGGATCACTGTGTTAAAAGGAAAAATCCACTTTAAAGTACATTAACACAAAAAATAAGCCATTGGTGAGTTGTTCCTATGTCTCTCAACCTCAGTTTTATAATTAATTTTTTTTCTGTGAATAACCAGTCAAAGGTAAACGATATGGTCAACACCTTAAGACGTTTTGTTGATTATCACAATGTTGAGGAGCGCTAGAAGACTTTGCTTCCCCCCCAAAATTATTTCAGGTTAAAGTATTTCACTATCAACCTTC